GAAACACTTATACTTAACACTCTCCCTTCTCTCTATCTATCCCCTGGTGTGTGTTCTAACTTGATCGTCGGAGGGGTTTTTCGGCCACACACCGCCGGGTAGCTCACCGCCTTTGTGTACGCAGGTGATCGGATAGAAGCGGAGCTTGGAAGAAAGGAGTACGGGCTTTCCTGAATATTTGCTCCCCGTACAATTTTTATAAGCAGTGAAACAGTGAAGAAAGTTAAAACTTTCAATTTCCTTTTCCTTCCTTACCAAACAACAATGCATAAGATTCAAACTTTCTTTTCCTCTCTCTCTCAACAATCAACAGCCAAAATAAAATTTAAAAATTAAAAAAAGAGAGAAAATCCAAAAACAGTAAGTGGGTATAAAAAATGGACTTGTATATCATTATTCAAAAAAAAAAAAGAAAAACATAAGTATTCACATAATTCAAAAAAAACATAAGGATTCACATAATGCATCACACATTCCTATTATTCAAAAAAATAAAATAAAATAAAATAAAATAAAATAAGTATTCTCTAGAAATTTACCAGCTATATACCAAGATACATAACTATACACACTATGTTAGACTTCTTTCTAAACCAAACATTAAAAGCTTAATATTTAATCTAATTATTGAAAATTCCAAGACCAAACATGAAAATTCCGAAGCATCAAAGAAATCTGAGAGAGTTCATTCATTAATCCAGAACATTCATTGACCCACTGTAATTCAAGATAGAAAGTGAGGAACTAATAAAGAATTACAAGGGAGAGACCTCCTAACTTGAATATCTACTTGAGAAGCAAAATTAAAGAAATCTAAGACAAAAGGATAAAAAGAAAACACAATTAGTAAGAGCACTCTTCAACACTAAAAATGTATATGAGTCTATTTTCATGTTTGATGAGTAAGAATGTGACCATTGATGATTAATGAGAACCTCACCCATTTGATTAAGATGAAATAAAAATGATTGTTGATATAAAATATAATTGTAAGAAGGCAGAGTGAGATTTAATAATTTCCATAAAGAAAAATTAATCGACACAGAATTAACAACCTCATAGCATATTTTAGTTAACAACCTACTTTAAGAAGTTCGTCTGTGCATGAATATCACAGATGGAGAAATTGAACTACTATAGGATAAAAGACAAATTATATTTTTTTTATGTCTTCAATATACATTAAAAAGGATAAAAGAAAAATTAAATACTGTCATAGCAATCTTCATCATTTTTCTCTATTAGCCAAAATGTAGAACTATTACAATACATGATTTTGTGGTTGATTCTATATAGTAATTTTGCATTGACAACAATTAAATTCTTATAGATTGTATTGCCCACTTTTCTTACCACAAATATATATATATATATAAATTATAAAAAAATATAAATTATACTACTTATGAATAAAATTGTAGCAAAACTTCAATATAGAAAAATTACAATAATTTTTTTTTAATTACTCCAATGAGTTATACTACATAGTAGCTTATTTAATCACAAATATGTTTCCTTTCAATTTCCTTTTGCCTTCCTTTTTCTCATATACCAAACAACAACGCATAAGATTCAAACTTCATTTTCCTCTCTCTTAACAATCAATAGCCAAACCAAAACCAACAACAACAAAAAAAAATGTGAGAAAGAAAATCTAAAAAAAAGAGATCAAAGATATATTTTGTTATACCACACAGTAGCTTATTTAATCACAAATATGTTTCCTTTCAATTTCCTTTTGCCTTCCTTTTTGTCATATACCAAACAACAATGCATAAGATTGAGAAGTAATTTTTATCAGAAGGAACTTCTGGTTTTGAATTACAAAGTAATTGAGCTTTCTAAAGCTGTTCATGAAGAGGAAAGATGATTTTTGATTTTTCAAGAAGAGTAATTGATCAGCATCAAAAGAATTGCTATTGAATCTGGCTCATAAATAATCATTATATTAGAGAAAGTTCTTTGAACAATTGCTATTGAATGTAAACTCAAAAAAGATGATTAATGTGATTTAAAATCCTGGCATAAACAACATCATAAATGAGAAAACTACTCCAACATCAAAAGATTGTTGCTTTAAAAAAATTAATTTGAATTGATGCAACTGTGAGATTTCAGAATCCCTACACTTCGACATTACATGTCAAGTTTGATCAAATGTGGGTGAGACTGCTGTGTGGAGCATACCAACAACATAAATGGCAAATCCAGAACTTCCCCGGTCATGATGGAGTAAAGTTTTTGGAAACATTTTAAGCGTTTATTTGTGCATCTTTGGTTCAGTATGCTGCTGGGCAAAAACTTTACTCAAAATTGGTAAACTACACTGACCACCGGAAGTATAAAAAAAAATACATTAAATGAATCGAAACAAAAATGATTCTGCAACAGCCAAACAAAAAAAAAAAAAAAAAAAAAAAGTGAGAGAGAAAGAAAATCCAAAAAAACAGAGATCAAGGTACTAACTAGATCGAGAAACAGCAAACTGGAAGACAAAAAGAAAGATCAAAACACAATCAGAAATCAAACAAAAAATTGAAAAAGAACAAAAATGACCATTGATAATTAAAGAGAGCCTCAACCCATTTGAGTAAGATGAAATAAAAATGATTCTTAACATGAAATCCATTTTTCCTTAACCCCCATTTGATAGAAAGAGAGAGATAGAGAAGTAGGTGTTAATCCAATTGAACTATGAAAAAAACACAATTTAGAGCAAATTAAATCTGAGCCATTGGGTGGGGATGACGATGAAAAAAAAAAAAAAACAGAGCTATAAAAAACAGAGGTAAAAAAATGAATGAAAACAAAAAGAAAGTAGAGTGCCTTACCTAGAGCCATTGTTCTTCCTTTCAATTGAGCTTTGAGCTTTGTTCTTCCTCAGAGCTTTGTTCATACATACATACATATGATGTAAACTGCAGTGGTTTGGTAAGACTTGATAGGCAAACAAATCTGAACCATTGAATCTCTTTTGAATCTCAGCCATTCTTTTTAAATTAGACAAATCTGAACCATTGAAGATAGTTTGTAAGAGAGATATTTTTTAAAATAAATCTGAGCCATTGCTTTTCAATTGGATAGATCTGGACCATTAATTTCAAAGACATTTTTAAATTAACCCTTCCATTGTTATATAGATTTACATAATATTTATATTGGTTCTATTTAATTTATAACCTTATTAAAAGGAATGTGAATATAATTATACCAAACTTATGAAATTTATTATAATTTTTTCAAATTTGAAAAGCAGTTAGTGTAATGTACCATACTTTTTCTCAAGAGATGGAAGCAATGCCCTTTCTTTTAAGTCAAGGTCAGGAAAAATTTAGTTCTTTCGAAGCGTTATTAATGAGTGCAAAAGAAATGAATGGATTCAATCGATCATGTCTTGCACATAACCAACCAATCAAGGTAACTCAGAACTCAAGTTGGCTTCTTCACTCATCTACTAATTAATACCCTTGTTAAGTCTGAAATCCATGTAGACCATATTTTTTATTTGCAATAGAATAAAAATTCAATTATACCTTCATGTTTTTTTAACAACAATGATTCATCCCACGAAAAATATCACCACTAATAGCACTAATGCATTAAAAAAGTAAAAAAAAAAAAAAAAAATACAACTCCAAGACCAAAACATCACATCATTAATGGCGGGACCCACTGCCACCTAATTAGTGGGAGCACTAATTAGTGCTCCCAAGCATTTTTCTTTTTCATATATGCAAAAAAGTGACAAAAACGAGAGATTTGAACAGATCTAACAAATCCCATTTTGGAGATCCCTTTGTTCCTCAATTACAAACTAATGTGATAATAACAATTAACAACAATCAAAATTGGGACGAAGGTACTAGCTTTGAAAAATCTAAAAATCCTCCTTAGATATTTATTTGTGATTATGTAACAATTTTAAGCAGTGTATAACAATCTCAATCAAACAATCAAGACAATCAACACAACGATTTTAACGTGAAAAAACCACAATTGGACACCTCCAACTGTGATTAAAAAACTACGGGCAACAGTCACAAAACAATCCACTAAGAAGATTTAAAGGAATTACACAGGTATACTCTCAATTACCTAGCGAATCCACGCCTAATTGAACCAACCTCTATGTGCCTCTTCCAACCCGTCTTCACCTCGGAATTGTCTTTACAATGAGCCACCCTGGAATCCACCAAAGCTTCAGGCTCAAATTCTTCAGAATCCACCGAAGAACAACTCTTTTTGTAGAACAAACAAAACCTTTGATGTATACTCTTTAAAACATGAGTTGAATACTCAATCAAAACATTAAAGAAAACTCACAAAGTATCCCCAGATATAAACCCTAGAACTCAAAAAGAAGATCTGGAGTAGTAATCCTAAAATTTGACTCAACACACGAATTTATAGAATTTGTCCCGCGATTTCCGCTTGAGCGCCCAACAGCCCGCTCGAGCGGCTTCAGCAAAATATGCGCGTGATATAACAGAGGTCCGCTCGAGCGCTGGAGAACCCGCTCGAGCGCGAAATCACACCTTCCAGTATTTTTACAGACCGGACAAACTTCTGAAACCCAGCATTCTCCGCTCGAGCGGGATAATGTCCGCTCGAGAAGACAGGCAACTTGGAATGCATTTTTGCATTTTACTTCGAAGGCGCTATCCCTTGACCCCGCCGTGGCGCTGCCCCGGACCCATCAAGGGGCGTTGCCCCCTAGACCCCCGTGAGCTGACCGAGCAACTCGATCCTCGTCATAATCAGCGAAGTGGCAATCTTAAAAACATTATCATCACAAACTTCTCTGAAAGGCACAATTCGAGTTGGATTCGCATCTAAACACTCATAACCTCACTGAAATAAAAGTGTGAAAATAAATGCACCTGAAAGGAGTTTTGTCAAACGGAGTTGTCAAGAATAAAACCTAACACTCTTTATGCTCATCACATGGACAAAATAAATAAAATAAAATAATACAAATAAAAACAAACATGGGACATCCATAACCAGAACCAGCTACTCTGCTGCACAATTTCACAAACAATTGCAGGCTTTTACTTTACACATGTTGGAAACGGACTCATCTTCACATGCTCTGCTTAAAAATAAATAACATTTGTTTGATCTTTTATTGTCTTCTCCCCCCTCATGACTTCCTGTCTTTCCTCTACATGCCCTCCATTTTATTTCTCTCTCCCCCTCCATTGGGAACTTATTTCTAGTTTTTTCTTGGAGCCTATTTTTTGAGAGACTTTTGATTAATTACATCAAGTAACAGAGGTATAGTGGGGTGTGTTTTTACCTCAACCACTGCTAGGGAGTCTGAACAAGTAATTTGAAAAGTGAATCATAAAATAAAATGCGTAGACCAGATTTATTCTGAGTATGACTCACATTGTAGTAAAAATTTTAATTTACATCATACACTTCGTGACCACTTTTGGAGCTGCGTAGAGTTTTGATTTTTATTTTACTTGACCACTTAGGAGGAAGCAACCTTGGTGATATCTTTGCTAGATCTGTTGTACTTCATGTGACTCTTAACAAGCTGGCCAGCTGCAATGGCTGACATGAGGGATAGCTCCCCAGCAAGAACAGAACCAGCCACAATGGCTGCCAATAACCTTGAATTAGACCCAGGTGACTCTTTGTTTGCACCCTTCACTCCAAGTAGGTTCAGACATGCTGACTGAGATGCCAGTTGGGTTCCACCTCCTACTGTTCCCACCTGATATTCATAAACCATCAAAAAACCAAATCAGCAGCAGCGCTAGGAACACATAAAATAAAAAATATATAAAAATAAAAATTGATGTACACAAGAAGATGAATTACACCCATTATTACGGTTCAAAATTGCAAAAATGATACTGTGATATCATTTCGTATGAATTTTATGTTTATGAATCATTTTTTTATTTCAAGTTGTTAACAAGTGCTAGCAAAATCTATTAAAAAAAATAAAACAAGATCAAATACATTAATGTCTTCTGATCTCAGAGGGGAACACTTCTAATTGCCAAGACAGACTGGTACAGTGGTGATCATCTGATCTCAAGGAATCATGGATTCCCATGAGAGAAACACCTGTCTCTCAAGAGAGAGAGAGAGAGAGAGAGAGAGAAAACTAACAAGACAAACCTCTGCTCATCTGCTATATAAATTTTTTTGTTTTGTTATCAGTCATAGAGAACCTCTCAATATTTAAATTTTAAATGAACTGATCATGTTTGGAGTCTTTCAATCTGGTTGTCTTATTTATTTCCCCTTCAATAAAGTAGAGACATTTAATAAAAGAGTGGAAGAATCCAAATAAATATGTTATTGCCAGACAACATGTATGCATGCCCACTGTTTTTATCTATGCAAAGATTTGAGCATAAAATGTGGAGCATGACCTGGTCATTTTGAGAAGGGCAATGCTATATATATATATATGAGTCGAATCTTTTGTTCCGATCCTCTCTCCTCTTGTCCCAAATTACCTTTCTACCATACAATATAATGGGTCAATATGATAGAAAGGAACCTTGAGACAAGAGTAGAGGAGATATCCGAAAAAAGATAACTCTTCTGCTATAAAAATACAATTGTTGTATAGAAATTTCCTACAAAATAATATACCTTTTTATAGTCCTTTCATTTTAAATTAAAGCATAGCTACTATTGTAACTCATAATTTTAAAAATACCATTGCCACATCATTCTGAATGAATTTTTTATATATAAATTTTGTGTACCATTTTCCTTTTCAGAAAATGCTAAACACCTGAATATATATATATATATATAAATTTCATTCAAAATGATGTGGAAATGGCATATTTATCAATTACGATCACAATGGTAGAACTAATGCTTTTAAATGAAAGGAGCACAATAATCCGCATCATTCTATAATATATCTCTACAAATATTTTTGTTTTGTTTTGTTTGTATAGCAATGCTTGAATTAAATTCTCTAACTATCTTTATCTATTCAATCTATTCTATTAGATAAAATGTACACTAGAATTGGTATGAGCACTATCAAAAATTTTTTTCCCCTTTCAATAATATCCTCTTTCCATTCAGTAACTGTCACATCTAATAGTAACTCTTATTTATAAAACCATGTAAAATTGATAATAAATGTTTAAAAAACTATCTACAAAATTAAACATAAAATTCCAAACGCCTCACATCCGCACACACCGCTAATATATTTATGAAACTCAGTTCAGGCCAAAAAGTGTGGCCTAGTACACGAGGCTAACGCTAAACGGGATTTGCAGGGATTAAGATATATAAAGAGACTGAGAGGGGGGGAAAATTTGAAAAATTGAAATGTAGAAAATATACCTCAATGGAAGGCATGGTGACAGAGATGTGAAGGTCCTTGCCATCATTAACAGCTTCCATCATGGTGATGCAGTGAGAGCTCTCAATATTCTGAGCTGGGTCTTGGCCGGTGGCTATGTACACTGCAGAAACAATGTTGCTGGCATGGGCATTGAAGCCACCAAGAGCACCAGCCATGGCTGAACCAGTAAGGTTCTTGAGCATGTTAAGCTCAACAAGAGCTGCCACGTTGGTCTTCAACACCTTCTTCACTATCTCTTCTTTGATGATTGCTTCACAAACAACTGATTTTCCGCGCCCTTCAATCCAGTTCACTGCTGCTGGCTTCTTATCCGAGCAAAAGTTTCCTGTTTCAGTTCATACCCGGATCAAATAAATAAATATCCATGCATTTATGTTATGTTTATTTCTTAGATTTGTTAATAAAAAAAAAAATTTTGAAATTAGTTATATATATTCATTCTAGGAGGGGTTGGAATAATTGGGTATTTACCAGAGATGCCAATGACATCCATGTCTGGGAAATCATTCTGAAGGAAATCAAGAACATTCTGGACACCTTTAGAGACCATGTTCATCCCCATTGCATCCCCTGTGCTACACATAAACCTCGTGTACAGATTCTTCCCTGCTACTGCACATTTAATCCCTTGTAGCCTTGCAAATCTGCTCGATCTGTACACAACACAAATAAATAAATAAATAAATAAAAATAAAGTCATTAATCCATTAACATCAAAAACATCATAAAGATAACATTGCAAATAGAAAATTCAAAAGAAATATCAAATCAAACACAACAAAGCGGATAAGAACACCCAATTTAAAAATAGAACGACATGAGATGAGATATATTTTTAAAAACAATTAAAAAACAAGTCTAAGTCGAATTGTATAGTAAGTCATTCAAGTTTAACTTTAAAATTTAATGAGTTTTAAAAAGTGTTCAAATTGACTTATTAACATTATGAGTCGATTTCAAATGAGATTTAATTAATGAAAACTTGAGTAGAACTTATTGAATCAAGTAGTAAACAGTTCAAATTTAACTTCAAAAATTTAGGAGTTTTAAAATATGTTTAATTTTTTTATTTATTTACCTAACAAATATTTCAAAGAGTTTTTTACTATCAAATATTTGTCGTTCTAGTAATTTGATTCATTTTATAATTCTAACTAATGAAAAACACACCTAGACTTTTATGTTTTAATAAACTTTCAATTGTAGTATACATCTCAAATTTCTACTTATAGACAATTTGACATGGAAAATGACATAGAAGCCTATTTTCTATACTTAATAATGTGTAATAAACATAATTGGTTAATAATTAAAAAATATATTATAAAGAGAGTTGATTTAGATATAAAAAAATAATCTCAATTAATACACATTAGTATGTATGTTGACTTAAATATTCTAATAAAATAAGACATTATTAAATTTAAAATTTGAGTCTAATTTTAAACTAAAATGACACTCTCTTTGGACAGAGAAGATGTTGACCCGATCATACATTGCAACCACGTATATTTATCTACACCTACCGCACCACTGGCGGCAATGTCAAAACTATCAAATATTATTTTGAAATTTATTTTTTAACAAAAATATAGGGTGTAAATTTAAAGATATTGCGATGTAAGGCATTTAAAGTCATATCTATAATAATTTTAATCCATTAATTTATTTTCTGAGTAATTTTCTAAGTAAACTTTATAAATATATAGTGTTATTGTAAAATCATAGTTTTAAGGCGAGTTTGACAAATAGCCAAAAAAGGCATATTTTTTCGATTTTTTTTTTTGTTATTAATGATAATTTTTAATTTTTTCACTTTTCATGTTCGTCTTGTGTAAATGACTTTAAAATAAAAATAAAAACAAATAAAAAAAGACAACTTAATTTTTATTTTTCAGTCTATTTGGTTGTGTTTTTTCTAAAACAAATTACTAAAAAAAAAAAAAAAAACTAAAAAAATTAGTCCCAAACACTCACTTAAGGGATTGTTTGGGATGACCTAAATAAGTGTACTTTTTGTCTTTTTACGAAAAGATATGCAGAAAAGTAGAGAGATGATGTGATGAAAAAAAGATAAAAAGATGGATTATTTGTAACTTTCCAAACTTGGCCTAAATATCAGCATAGACAAGATCTTTGGATGGACTTTTTTTTTTAAAGAGAAGTTCCAATACGCAAAGACTATATCAAACTCTTCTATGTTAAGTTTTGAAATCATAATTTTAAAAATAAATTTTTACACACACTTAAACAATAATTAGTTTAAAAATATAAATTTCATATTCAAAAAAGTTTAATGGCCCTACCTAAAATGATAAATCCCACTACATCAATAAATATTAAATAATTAAATATATATATATATATATATATTATTTACGCACTTTAAATGTACAAACAAAATCAAATTTCATAATTTCATATCACAAAATGATAATACAAAACTATTAAATAAAAAAGACTTATTTAACATAACACCGTCAAAAAATTATTAGGTATTCCCAGAGAGTACTATATATCTATACTCTTTTATCAATTACTATTTATCATAACTTCTCACATTCCTTAATCACTCAATACAAAATCATAATATTATGAAGTTCCAGATCCAGCACCGCCAATGTTGAAATCATTAATTTTAAATATCGTTTAAACGTAATCACTCAATACAAAATCATAGTATTATGAAGTTCCAGATCCAGCACCGCCAATGTTGAAATCATTAATTTTAAATATCGTTTAAACGTATTTTATTTTTTGGATCGAGTTGTAGGCCAAATGATAATGCAGAGGACACTTAGGTGCAAGGATGACATTGCAGGCTCAAGTTTATAGAGATATTCATCTACGTAATAATTTAACTATTAATATTAAGATTAATTTTATTTTAAAAAATAAAAATAAAAATATATCTTTTGAATAATATTAGAGGTGCTAAATATTTTACAAATAAAACATTTTTTCAGAAGAAAATGATAAGAGAAGAAAGTACTGACTTGTTGAAAATGACGGCGAGTGTGTCAAAGTTGATAGGGTCTTCCAAGAAAAACTTCAACTCCGCTGCCCTCTTCGCCGTCCCGAACCTTACCACCGGAGCTCTGGTCATCCCATCTCTCAACAAAACACTGGTGGCTCCGCCTGACACGTATATAGCTTTACAGCCCCTGTTAGTGCTCGCAACCAAACACCCCTCCGTGGTGGCCATGGGCACCGAGTACTCCCTCCCGTCCAGCAACAGCGGTCCCGCAATCCCCACCGGAATCTGAACAAACCCCACCGGCATCTCACAACACTGTCCCAATATCGACTCATAGTCAAACCCCTCCAACGGCAATCCATCTAGACTCTTCCCGGTAACCCTCTCCAACGCCACCCTCCGTATCGCCGCCGCCCTCTTACAGTCCCCGAGTTTTGATTCCAGTGAGTATGATGGCGTTTTTCCGTCCACTACCGATTTTATAATTTCTTCATCGTCCACCGTCGTCAGAATCGGAATCTTCTCCGCCGCCTTCGGAGGAGGAGAGGAGCAGTCAATTGAGGCGGCGCAAGGGGTAGTGCGACGGTCGTCTTGGAGAATGACGAGGTCGTCGTCTTCCCAAGAGTCGGGGGAGGGTTTGCCGGTGAGGAGGGACTGGACGAAGTCGATGCCGAAGAAGCCGAGGAGGTAGATGACGGAGGCGATTAGCGAGATGACGGCGGCGAGCTCGGAGAGGGTGACGATGTGGAGGGGCATGGAGTTGCGGATCTTCTCACGCCAGCGGTGGAGGAGGAAGTAGGCCACGGAGAAAAAGAGGGTGAAGAATACGCCATTGGTGATGTAGAGAGGTAAGGGCAGAGCGTCCGAGGCTTTGGGAGAGGTTACTTGGCCGTTACGCTGGTGAGGTTTCAGAGGTTCGCCGGCTGATTTGGGTGATGGCTTGTCATTTCGCCGGCGAACATCCATTTTTAGCCGGAATCCGGCTGGCGAGGAAGAGAGAGAGAGAGGGGTTTGTTGGTGTTGTTTGGTTGAGGATTGTTGATGATGATGGGGCGTGGTGGTGGTGAGGAGAGGAGAGGAGAGGAGAGAGGGTGGAGTGGAGGGAAAAGCGAAGCTTTAGGGAGTTCTTTATAGAAGGGTGGTGGCGGTGGGGTTTTGAAGTTGGCGCGTTGGACTTGAGGCCACACGTACCACGTGCTATGCGCTTTTCATGCTTTCCTCAATTTCATTTATTTATTTATTTCATTTTTTTTAAAGAGTTAATTACCTAAAAAATTTATTTACAAATATTATGATAATTCAGGTTCTATTTAAAATTTTTTAAACTAATAAATTTTATTTAGTAAAATTAAAAATATTATTAATTTTTCTCAATTTTTAAAATTAAGAATATTATCAATTTCGCATCATAATGTTCCAGATAATTGTTTCAGTAACTGATAAAAAAAATAGAGCATTAGATTAAACGTTTTTACCTTTCTGATTATTGGTTTGATTCAACTATTCAATAAAACTGAGAACATTATTAATTTTTTTTTCAATTTTAAAACTGAGGACATTATCAGTTTTTTAATTTTTCATTTTTTCCCCCAATTTTACATATTAATGTTCCATCATCATGCTCCTTTATAAACACGAAATTTTCAGTGTTGCACAAAAAAAATAATTCAATTTTTAATTTTTTTTTAAAAAAAAAATTTTTTTTTTGCACATAATTTTTTTTTTTTTTAGTTTTTTTCAATTTGAAAGTTGATGTGTTAAAATTTTGAAAATTAAAATAAATGTCAAATCATCATGCTTATTTATAGACACTCATTGTTTGAAGGGCAATTCTGACTATAAATTTAATAAGACTTGATTTTCAGTGTTGCACAAAAAAAATAATTCAATTTTTAAATTTTTTTTTAAAAAAAAAACATTTTTTTTTGCACATAATTTTTTTTTTTCATAGTTTTTTTCAATTTGAAAGTTGATGTGTTAAAATTTTGAAAATTAAAATAAGTGTCAAATCATCATGCTTATTTATAGACAGTCATTGTTTGAAGGGCAATTCTGACTATAAATTTAATAAGACTTGAAGGTTCAAAAAATCTTAATTAAAGTATAAGTTCATAAATTAAGATTTGTATGTAAATGCCCTTTTTTTTTTTTCTTTTTTTTTTTTCAATCAAATATCTTACATTTGAAGTCTCTGATATTATATTTTTTTAATAAAAAAAAATCATATTATTACATAATTTTTTATAAAGGGTAAATTACAAGTATTTAAAATACAAATTGTCCCATATAATTTTAGAAATTGCATCCTGCCCTTTTGAGATTTTAATCGCATAGCAAATGATTCATTTTATTAATAAATTATTAAATCAATTGATATTTTTTAATAATGTAAGAAATATATTTTAATTAAAGATTCAGATAATTTTATTGTTGTATAATAATGTAGTTAGATTTTTTTTATTAATTCTGTTAAATAAAAAATTCTTATAAGGTATTTATAATATTCAAAACTATAAGGAACAATTTGTATTTTAAATAAATCTCAAGGGATGTAATTTTATTTTATCCTTAATATTAACTACTCAAAAAATTAATTTAAGAAAATATTTAAAAATAAATAAATAATTAAAATTATTTTTAAATATATATCTGACTATACAATAATTAAATATAAGCTGCATAACAATTTTCTAAGCAGATTACTGATCAAGTTTTTGAATTTCTAAGTTTTTTAAATTATTAATTGTAATGATGTAAGTATAACAGTTTTTAAAAAGAACCTTTTTTATTTTAAGTTATAAAATGAAAATTTGTCAGGTTTATCATGAATGTCACATAAGTCCTATGTCTCATTTAACACACGAAAGTGATCAAATGGAATAAAATGTCACTACAAGAAAATGTAGAAATGGCGACTAAAAAAATTATTTTCGTCGCTGAAAGTGTCATTTTCGGCAACTAAAATGGAATTAGAGCGACTAAAATAATTTAGTAGCCAAATGTATAGTTATTGGCGACTAAAAATCAATTTAGTCGGCGATTATATGGGTTTTACCGACTAAAGGTTTTTTAGTAGCCAAAAGTGACCTTTTTTGACGACTAAAATAATTTAGTAGCCAAAAGTATAGGTTTTGGCGACTAAAAAACAGTTTGGTCGCCAATTATACGTGTTTTGGCGACTAAAAACAGTTTGGTTGCTGAAAGTGATGCTTTTTGGCTACTAAAAAAAATTTAGTAGCTAAAAACAGGCAATTGGCGACTAAAATTCAGTTTAGTAGCCAAAAGGGGACGTTTTTGGCGACTAAAAACAGATTTAGTCGCCAAAATTGTTTATTTTTATGCGAAACTTATATTTTTAGCGACTAAAAAATAATTAGTAGCCAAAAATTACAGAATTGGCGACTAAATTTAGTCGCCAAAAGTGGCCTCAATTTTTTTTAGTAAATAATTTATTTTTTACATAAATTATATTGAATAAAAATAATTATATTTATATATATAGTTTAATATTAATACGAGTCAATATACTATATAAATAATATATATTGCATATACATTTATGTGGTGTTGTAGTGGCATAGTGGAGGGAGTGTGTTACTAAAGGTTTAGAATGTGGGACAGGTTGGTGGTTCGAATCTCAGAAAAAGCAAAAAAGTTGGTTTTTTTTTTTTCACGGAAGCACCTTTGGCGATTAAACGGTTTAGTCGGCGATTCAGTGAGTATTGGCGACTAAAGGATTAGTCGCTAAATGTATGATTTTCAAAAGTGTAAATCACTATTGACAACTAAAACTTTGGTCGCTAAAGATCTGTTTTTTGCAAACTAAAAAAGTTTAGTCGCCAATACCTCTGACATGACAAAAGCGGCGACTAAAAATCTTAGTCGGGGAAACTAAAAAGTCGACATGTCTTTGAAAAATGTCTTTCACATTTGATACCAATACAAGGGGGAATTTGAAAAAAGTGGTTGGTAGGCTGAATAATTTCAAAATAATAGAAGTATAATTGGTTCATGTGTGAATTTATGTAATAAAAATTTGTATTATTATCATTTTAATATTATTTTTCTACCCTTCACATTTTTGAAATTCTCTTAAATATAAAAAAATTATTAATTGGTCCATGAATATCACGTAGCCATATCCTTCACCAATTATAATTGACTGTACTTGCTTGTGTTCCCTCACCAACTTTAATTATGACAAATTTTATCCCAAATTTTTAATTTGTTGAAAATTAGGACAATTGATTAGCGGAGGTTGCATTTTTGGACGAAAAATTATCACGTCAGTCATGTAACCATTTTTTAAGAACAAAATTGACGGTTCACATTCATCCTCTCTTTCACCCAATCAAAAACCGGCTGAGTTAACTCAGTTTTTTATGAACTCACGTTCATCTTTTACATTCATCAACCATACCACCACCCACCTCATCTTTCACTCGCCACCATACACCACCAAGCACAACCTTTCTTGCAACTGTTAGTCACATCACACCACCAAACTCAGCATCATTCAACTCAAAATTGCTTTACTCCTCGACCCCTGCTATGCCCCAACTACGTCTTCAGATTCCCAAATATGCCTCAAAATGGCACCACAATTATGACATTCAAATATGTTTATCATTAATTCTGTTCACTATGTATTTTTATTTGGGCAATTCAAAAGGGTTTCAGTCTACAACCTGTTAGATTACTCAAAAATAAAATAATTTTGGGAAATGTGTTGAAAGTTAAATGAATTGCATGAAGTTGCAACTCATAATATTAGAAAAAGGGTTGTTATAAATCAAAGGAAATTTTTCACTAGTTATGTCACTGCCTAGTTAGGCCTCGTTTGGCAACAGACTAATTTAGTCAAAAAGTTAAAAAGTTACTAAAAAAATTAAAAAGTAAACAACTCATACAAAAAAGTCAAAGATTCTCTTTTTTTTCTACTTTTTGCATATCTTTTCGTAAAAAGTTAAAAAATCATCCTAAACATACTAATTTTTTTTTAGCTCATATTTTAATCAAATAGTTAAAAAATTATTAAATTAGTCTGTTTCCAGACGAAGCCTAAGCTACACATGCGTCAAATGTCACCTATTAATAAGTGGAGTCACAAAGATAGTGGTGATAAATTTCTAATAAAACATATCATTTGCTTACATAATGAATTAAAAAAAAAAGAATTTGATATGTTAGTTTTTTAAAAACAAAAATTCTTTGATAGATAGATACAATGGTTGCTTTTTTATTGACCAAATTAATATACTATTTTCTTCTTGTTCATGTTGTTTCTGTCACAGCAAGTAATGGTGTAGGATAAGGGATTGAATTATATATACGGACGATCCGTAAAGCACTATTTTACCGATGACCATTTAAAAGTTGCCACTAATGCTTTCATAAACCATTTCACATTGCTCGGGGATATGATCTCAATCTCTCTCTCCACGAATGGATAAAATGGAACCAGGTTAAGCCCAACCTGGGATCTTGAGGTCCACGACGATGGGTGAACCAAGAACGAGGAGTCTGTGAGAGAACTGAAAGGGGAATGAGAAATTAAATAGTGTTTAGTATAACAAAATGATGACATGGCGGAATAATAGCCGTTCGGATCCTCTAGAGTGATATGCGTGAAGTGATCTGTAGAGTGAATTGTTTTTGGGTGTGACACGTGTTCCACTTAATGGGTTAAAGGCTGAGATTTTCCTTCACCAAAACCACATAGTTTTTGTGAAAGAAAATTAAAAAATAAAAAATCCCAGACTCAGAAAACCGTGTTCTTCTTCCTCTCCTCTCTCATCACCCTCTCGCCGACAACCACACCTCGAGATCTTTACAACCCACTTGCACAAAAGATTATTGGTATTTTTTTATAAAAATATATAAAATGAATTAATAAAAATAATAAAATAAATTTTTTTATTTATAGAACAAACTATATAAATATAGAAATGAATTATATTATATTACTAATAAAATAAATTATTAACATAGATAATTAAATATTAAAATTCATTGAGATAAACTAAATTCTAAAAAATTTAAGAACAATTGATAAGAAAAGAAACAAATCGAAATCTGTGTGATGCTATAGATACGACGGTCGAAACCAACTAAT